TTCGGATTGGCCTTGTTAAGTGCTACAATTCGACAGATGGTACGCTCAAAACGGATAACGGGTGAATGAGAAATTGATTCTCGAAGTTTACCCGTTAGAATAGAAAAACTGGGAAAAATGATGGTTTCTGGTGTTTTATTTCTACGGTTTAATTTTTGTTTTCTTCCCGAAACGTTTAATTTTTTCCCAGCGGCAGTAGTGCTCGGACAGAAGCTTACGGAATAGAACACCTCATTGGTGTTCTGATGGCCTCGTGACAGAACCCCTCATGGGGTCTTCTGTTGGCCTCGGAACAGAACCCCTCACAGGGTGTTCTGGTGGGGGTCTTCTGTCGCGCATCTGAACGGTTCTAAACCGTTACAACAATTAATGCTCAACTAAGAGTATAAACATGAGTTAAAAGTTTTTCACTTATGAATAGGAGTTATTTTGAACATGACAAAAAAATACCCCTCTCGGACAAAAAATTTCTTAGCTAGCAAATAAAACTTGTGTGCGCCGCATTTCATTCATGTCTAGCTATTAAATATGAAGCGAGTTGGAGAATAAATTGGAGTAATTCTTCTCATCAGTATTGATTTGAGACGCGATATGTTCATTGTCTGTTGATGATGATCGTTGGTCTGCCGATGATCATCGTCGAAGTCGTCGAACATCCTATATCATATGACACCAATATATAGTGTAAAAAATCATGAAGGTTAACTGTTGGAATTTTTTTCGACACACAAAAATATGAAACATGAATCTTTATTATGTGGTGCCTCCATAAATAAGTGAACTTTACATGAACTCGTTTTTATTTTTTATTAAAACTAAAAAAGGAAAAATCTTAAAGAATTTTTTATTTCTAACATTAAAATAAAATGTGTATTTTTAAATTTCATAATCATTCAAAAACACAAGAAAAACATTTTCTTGACAATTTAATTAATATTTTGATAAACTTATATGTAAAGAGAAACAATTAGTGTATTTTATTGACGATGCTAGGTGGTGGGGTGGTCACCACCACCCCACCACCGTCTCACTCCCCCAGACAACATCTCGCACTTCATACCCCCCTCTGCTCACACCCAATGCACCCACCTCAAACCTAACCCTTGCCGTCGTAGGCCAACGTACCCCCCACTACCACATACCTAAACTTAGCCGCCTCCACCTACGTACCATGGCCACTGCTCATCGTTGAATCCTAGCTGCCACCTATCGTCGAAACCTAGCTGCTGTTATCGCCTTCACAACGAGTTATGTTTGCTTCACCATTGTCAAAGGAGAAAAGAGAAGAAGACATAGGGAAGAAGCATGTGAATAGGTAATCGGTCGCAGGTCTGATAGATGGAGGCGGAACGAGTGCGCACTGCACGGAACTAATTGATTGAGGTGGAGAGGTGCACGGAACTAATTGATTGAGGTGGAGAGGTGCATAGACTATTGAGGGCATTTCAATCTGTTTGAACATTCTTAATCACTTTTTCGTCTACACGAAGTTTTGGTCATTTTTTGTGCATCTGAACTCCATAATTACTATTTTATTCCTTTCTTATTTAGTCCGGCAGTTAACTTTAAAATTTCACACTTCCCACACACACAACTACACACACAACTTTAATTTGGCCATCTAAAAGTTTAATTGACTATCATTAAATTAAAGATCATAAAAATTTATATCTTGACAATATGAAATAAAACAAATTTAATACATACTATAATAACTTAAAAAAAGCAGTACCAGATATAATTTATTCATTTATACATTATTGCAACTATTATTCAAGAACATATATGAGTAGTGATTTGAGAATAAACAAGCTAAGCGAGGCTAGATAGGTAGAAAATGATTGATTAGTCAATTTTTGGTGTAGATTCAAGGAGTGATTTTGGGTAGATGATTTCCCGACAGCCAGTGAAATCCAGTATCTTCTTGCCGAGTGGTGAAGTACTTCCGCCTGGAAAAGTCATGAAAAGCAGCATATGGTAATAGTGGAGCATCTCAGGGGTGAAGAGCTTCCACCAATAGGTCACTTTGAACCAGGGCGGGTGGGTCAGATACCTCTCCCCATGACAAGCACTATTCAGGATCGCCTTGGCACACGCTTCCACCCTCCCTATAGGGATTATGTTCACCTGCACCTGCATGCAAGGAATTATAGTTTTTGTAGCATATACAAAATGTTGTAATAGGTGTCAAAAATGTCACGATGGATCAAATGCAACATTTTTAGCATGTTGCATCCAACTGGTGTTACAGTAGGTGTATTGTAACAATTTATCATTTTATTGTACCATTGTTTGGTACAACAATGTTACAATTGATACTATACTGCAGCAATTTAGTATGTTGCATCCGACCGGTGTTACAATAGGTGTATTATAACAATTTATCATTTTATTGTAGCATTTTTTGGTACAACAATGTTACAATAGATACTATACTATAACATTTTTAGCATGTTGCATTGCATCCGACTAGTGTTACATATTTTAGCATTTTATTGTAGCAAATTATATGGGATGTTACAAAATATAGATGCTACAATAAATACTTTTGTACAAGTGTTACCATCCGTCTAGAGCCTCATACAAATAATACTTCCTCTGTATTAATTTGTCATCTTTCCTTTTTGGAATGCCCCCAAAACTTTATCACTTACCATTTTAATCAATTAATTTTTGGTTTCTGCTATTTTTTTTCTCTGCACAAACTTCGACCTCATAGTTTTTACTTTACTATTCTGTGTGCCGGTCAAATTAATTATGGGAATTATACAAATGTATAAAAATAATTAGCTTAGACACGTATGGGAATGAGGGGGCGAATGAATAAATTACTTACATCCCTCAAATGGCTGTTAACGTCTAACTGGCCGGTGTTATCCAAGTGCTTTCCTTGAGTAAGTTCTGACTCTATAAATCCAGGAGTCACCACAGTAATTTTTATATCTGATCCGAATTCAACCCTTAATGTCTCAAAAAACTCAAACATTGCTGCTTTACTTGCCTGGGTAAAAAAACAAAATATGCCGCATTAGGAGGGACTAAAAATGTAAATTTTAAAAGTTATACGAGTATGTAGTAATTATACTTGTCCATTTTATTATTTTCGAAAAATACGTATGCTAAATAGGAGTGAAATTATAAGCCTAACAACTTTTATCAATAAGAGTACAGTTATTTCCTTCCCAAATATGACTCGTCCGACTCCATTCATTAGGAAAGTTTTCATTACTTTTACTAAAATTATTGTTTTAATTAATAGGACTCAATAAGTCAAGAAAATTATTGTTCAATTAATTAAGCGAAAATAATAAAATTATTTCAAACTTTGATGGAGTGTGAAGTAAACACCCCAAACTTTATATAAAAAATTATTTTCACACCATTGTCATGTATTATTTCTTTCAAAAAATGTAAATTTATGGGGTTACTTGCATAATTTAAAATAGCAAATTAAAAGTGCTGTAATTATATAGATTGGAGGTAACATTATTTATTTTGCAATAAAAGTTTATAATGTTAACCGTGTCTTCATGAATTCTAAAATATTTCAAATTATGCAACTAATACCATAAATTTACATTTTTGAAAGAAATAATACTTGACTATGACATCAAAATAAAGTCAAAATAAAGTTTAGGGTATTTTAATTATTTTTTCGGGGTATTTGACTTACATTGTAAATGCTCATTCTGGGTGCAGATAACCAAGCCGCGGATGATGATATCACGACAATTCTGCCGTTGCTCTTCCTGAGATGAGGAGCTGCGAAGCGAGTCATATACACTGATCCCCAGAAGTTTATGTCCTAAATAAAACAAAATTATATTCATTTATTCAACGAAAAACATACACCATATGTATACTAAGTCACCGAGGAAGCGATCCGGCCCAACTGATCGCTGACTCACTCTTCCTTACGGAGGTCTCAGGTTCGAAACTCAATACAGTGAGTTTCAGACCTGACTACTTCAGACCCCCAGTCCCCCCTTCCTAGAGGAGGACCTAGGGGGTCATAGGGGGGCGCTTCCGACCCTGAGCTTTAGCATAAGTACTTAGGATAAAAATAGTGTCCCACCTATCCGGATAAAAAACTCTGTATAACACTACTGAATGAGATAATAATCCATTCAGAGAGTATATGTAAATTGTTATAAGACATTTAAATGACTATGAAATTATGATGGAATGATTGCTTACGGTTAGACATGATCATAATTGTAAAAGTTAAATTTTGATTGTTTATAATATGAAAATTATAAACATTGCAATGATGATTCAGTTGTAATCCATGACATGTGTTTCTTTAAAAAAAATGAATTCTACCTTCGTCCCGTGGACTTTGCCAAGTGCAAAACATGTGAGAAATAAGAATAGTAAAAACTGTGGTTGAGATTTGTGCAGAGGAAAGTGACAATTTTTTTTGGGACAATCGAAAAAGGAAAGTTGACAAAGTTCAATGGGACGGAGGGAATATTACTTTCCAAAATTGTTTTAATAGGTTGAAGCTAGACCTAATCAAGCATTCCAGCCCAGCTGATTGTGAGGTTACCGTGCCTAGTGGGAGGTCTCGAGTTCGAATCCCGCTAGACACACAAGGGGTGGAAACTCAATGGAGTGAGTTTCATCCCTGATTACTCTAGGCTCCCCCAGTCCCCCTCCCCCAGACACCCCCTGGAGTAAATAAAAAAAAGGTTGAAGCTAGACCTATAAATCATAGGTGTACATTCCTTGGAAGCGACATTGAATAAACTATTTCCTTTTAAAAAAGTTGTTTGCATGAGAGAAAACATACCACTTTCACACCCGACATCCGACCCGACCCTTTTCTATAAGGTATACTAAGTTTTTTTTGAAAGTCAAATAACTAATTTATAATTAAGCGATAGCAAAAATACAAGAGAATGAATAGTCTGAGGCTACAATGGGATGAGACATAGAACGGAACAGATTCAATGAATCCTTCCAGATCGCTAACCCCACAATAATGTAGTCTAGTCTAACAGCCTTGTTGATGCTACTCCAAAGAGAAATTAAAAAATTACAACTAAAAGATCCGGCTTCACCAGCCACCGGAAAGGGAGAATTGGTTTGACCAGCAACCAACAAAGGGAATTCAACCGAGTAAAAATTTCTTGAAGCATCGTTTTGACCAGCCACCGAAAAGGAGATCCGCTTGATCATCTTCTTCTTCCCAGAATGAAAGGAGATCCGTTTGATCATCTTCTTCTTCCCAGAATGAGGCGGTGGTTCAGGTGGTGGGCGAGTATTTCGAACATCAGAACAACAAGAACAACAGGGATGAAAAGCTTTACCAGATCGATTAACCGGATTAAAAACACACAACATCTAAAGTCTAAACATTGCTAGGAGAATAACATACCACACGCTCACATGAAGCGGACAAAATTCTCGGCCAATGAAGATGTCGGACCAAATTCTTTGAAAATAGAAATTGAAAGCGAGCAAAGTATAAAAAAACCTTTGATTCAATCTTTCATTGAATAGAGAATGTATTCGTCTTCCAAAATCGGATGGGGTTGGGGATGGTCGCCTAGAGTTTCTCTTGGGGCCGACTCTCTATACTAAGTTATTTGTCGTAAGATAGATAACTCGTTCATTCTTAATTTAGATGCATGCTACGGCACCTCAAAATCTATCTATTACTCCGTACTAAAAAGGTAATTAGGACGCCAATTTGTCCATAAAATATTCAAAGAGAAAATTGTTGCTCAACTAACAATTTTTAAAATGGATATTCATCGATCACTACTCTACTAAGGTGTTTATACTTGGATTGGAATTTCTTGATCTGATCTAAATTGTTCTGATCTGGTCTGAATTGATCTGGTAAATGTTTGATCTCTGTGTATTTTATATATCTCCAAATTGGATACTTAAAACAGTCCAAGTAAGAACATCCTAAGCAATAAAAAACTATTTCTAAATCCCATCTTTAATTACAAAATAATTTTTTTGCGACAAAAAACATTGGCACGTCGTACGAATTTTGTCACGGTGCCATAAATCCGTACCAATAATCCGCTCCGGTGTTGGAAATCGATCGGTTGTTCATTTGTGCGTTTCTTACCCAAACAAAATAGCCAGATTATATTGTAAAGCTTTCATCCAAGGCCTAATAAGCGCGTAGTTTAATTATATTTGTAGACCTAACCAAATTGTATTTGGCCAAAGCTAAGGTGCCATATTAGGTGAGGAACAATAGCCAGGGGCGGAGCTAGAGGGGTGGCCAACCAGGCCACGGCCTGCCCCAAATTTGAAAATTATTTGTATTTTTAGTCTAAAAATTCATGTGAAAAAAAATTATCTGAAAAATTCTATATACCGGTCCAGCCCAACCTTCAATCCTAGCTACGCCCCTGCCAATAGCTACGTACTATACATTCCGACGAGGAATTGTAGAAATAGAAGTTTGAACTTTGAACAATCCATTGATCTCACCATAACGGGCCGAAGAGAAGTGAGATCCTCGACCTCTTCAAACAATGAAATTGAGGATATCCCAGCATTGTTAACCAGATGATCAACTGCACGTACATGCATAAACAAATCACAGCAAGCCATACACAATATTTCCACTTTTGGTCCTACGAGATTTAGTTAACATCTTTCACTTTGCCTACATTTTTCACTTTCTACTTTTGATACTTGACTAATATTTCTTGATTATTTGATGTTCTTTTCTGGCGATTTTAATCACCGGAAATATTGAGGGGCAAAAATCCTTAAAGAGCTGAGGAATAGGCGTGATACTCGTAAGATCAAACATGGATCGGAATTTATTCAAGAAAAGCTTAAAATCCGATCGTGGACATGTGAAAAAGATAAGTTTGATACATTTTGTTTACATTTTACTACTAGTCTTATTTATACACATTTTAATTCGTATATACACGTTACTATTGAAAGATGGATAAAATGAATAAACAATAATGAATAAACAATACTTTAGCTATCGACATTGTTACACTTTTTGACCTTCCAATGCACAATGATGACATATATATATAGAGTGCTCTTCTCCTCAGGCCGGCCTGACGGGATGCTCCGTCCGGCCGAGCCCGTTTGGGAATCTTCCCGGTGGAATCTTCCCGGTGGAATTTTTTGATGAAATTTTTTGAGCATGTTCCCCATCAAGTCTAGTTTGTCCATACCAAATTTCAGCTCAAAATTCGATCGGGAAGGCATTCAAATCATTTTTTGAAGTTGACTGCGTCAAAATATACATATAAAACTGCAGTCAACTTCAAAAAATGATTTGAATGTCTTCCCGATCGAATTTTGAGCTGCAATTTGGTATGGACAAACTAGACTTGATGAGGAACATGCTCAAAAAATTTCATCAAAAAATTCCACCGGAAAGGTGCCCAAACGAGCTCGGCCGGACGGAGCAGCCCGTCAGGCCGGCCTGACATGAACATTCCTCTCTCTCTCTCTATATATATAGATATATATAAATATATATAAACAATGTAAAGTGGATTCTAGGCTGGAATTCTGATCACCATGTAAAATATATTTTGAAAGAAATTTGAATAAAATTATCGGTAACTCATTTAATTTATCCCTATAAAGATCGAAGAAGCTAGGCTACTATATATATGTGTGCTAAAGATATAGTGACGTACTGCGGCCAAAGTGACTAATGGCTTGATCCACAATCCTTCTACAGTCTTCTACAATGGAAACATCTGCTCGGATGGCTAGAGCTTCCGGAGCTCCCATGTGTAAAGCCCGATTCGCTACTTCTTGTAGACTTACCTCTCTCCTTGCGGCAAGAACTAAACATGCTCCCCGTTTCGCGTACTCATATGCAAGATGCTAATGATAATTAATTCGATCAGAAAATTCTCTAAATAAAACTAAAATAATGATCGAATAAAGTTCACAATTTTTAATCTAACTTATTCTTTTAGAAGGAAAATAATTAAAATACCACAAACTTAGAAAAAGTGTAAAGTAAACATCCCGAATTTGTATATGTAATTTAAATACCTCAAACTTTAAATAAAAAGTTTTTTAGCACTATGGTCATGTATTAATTCTTTCAAAAATGTTAGATTTTGGTGTTAATTTCATAATTTAAAATATTTTAGGAAGATACAATTAACATTCTAAACTGGGTAAAATAAATAGCATTACCCCCACTTCCCACTCTATATAAGTGGGACATTTTCAATTTGCTATTTTAAATTATGCAATTAACACCATAAATTTACTTTTTTTAAAGAAATAATATGTGACAAAAAATAACTTTTTATGTAAAGTTTGAGATATTTAAATTACACTTTGGGATGTTTGTATCACACTCTTTCAAAGTTTAGTGTATTTTAATTATTTTTCCTTTTAGTAGACTTAAATAAGTTCTATTTAAGTACAATACTATGTACAAAGTAATTAATATGACCAAAATAAAGATGATTTAAAAAAATATGACTAGTTATTAGAGTAGTAATGAAATCATAGTAATTCACGTTCAAGTTTTTAACTTAAGTTACCACAACACTATGTTGTAGTAATGAATAATCATATTTATGTAAATAAGTTTTATTTTAGTAATATTCTTGTAAAAAACCCGTTTGATTTTTGTGTTGTTTACTTGTTTTAATCCTATATTAAGGAATTTCTCTATAACTTTATTTCGATTCATATACTTTGCAATGTGCATGATTTAGGGAGTGTTTGCAATTGCTTCAACTTTAAAAAAGTGATTTTTTAAAGTGATTTTGGGAAAAGTGATTAATAGTAAAAATTGGTAGTGTTTGAGAAAAAAGTGATTCTGAAAAAGTAAAAGCTGGCAGTGTTTAGTAAAATAAGTACTTTTTGTGTAATAGGAAAAGTGAAAAGCAGTTTGAAGCACCCTTCTACCTGCTTCCAGCTTTTAGCTTTTAAGTGATTAATTTAAGCAGAAGTTGAAAACACTCTTTTCAACTTTTTTTTAAGCCAAAAGCTAAAAAGCGCATTTTTAAACCACCCCAAACACTCCTTTAGTAGCAAGCTAGCTAGGAAACTAAGATAGATTGTGGAGCGTACCTCACCAATGCCGGAGGAAGCGCCTGTAATGATGATTACCTTGCCGGCGACATCCTCGGCGGTAGCTGAGCCCAAAATTGAGAGGAGAAACTTGAAGACTTGGAATGGGGCCCACAATAGAAGCAGAGCGAAGAAGGTGAAGGGCGGAGCTACCAGGTTCAGAAACTTGTGAATTACATCCAGCGCCATCCTGTATCTATCTATCTAGCTGCTTTTTACCATTACGCACTTTTAATTTGTGTTAACTTATTTAAATGCACAGTTTTTAGCTAGGCTTGTATTCTTGCTGGCACTTAACACGAGTACGTGGCCACACACGTGTCCAAATGGGGACACTTGGCCGGTGATGACATTGAATGAAGTGGAATGATTTTGTGGAGTCGCCCAAATCCATGCCATTTCACCACCATGCTAGCCTCTAGTACTCTGTAGATCGATGTCAAATATCAAGTCGCTTTCTAAAAGATTAATCGATAAGAAGAGCAATTCAAAAATTTATACCATGTATTATTGTATGCAAAACAGATACTAAGGGTTGGTTTGCAACTGCTTCTAAAAAAGCACTTCTCAACTTTTGGCTTTAAAAAACACTTATTTTCCCAAACACTACAATTTTTATTTTTCTCGACTTCCGCGTCAAAAGTGCTTTTACTTTTTCTATTACACAAAAAGCACTTATTTTTCTCAACTTTTATTTAGGGTCTGTTTGCAACAGCTTCTGCTTTTAAAAAAGTGCTTTTTTAATGAAATGAGAAGAAGTGATTAAATAAAAGTTGATAGTGTTTGAAAAAAAAGTGATTTTGAAAAGTAAAAGTGGGTAGTGTTTGGTAAAATAAGTGCTTTTTGTGTAATAGAAAAAGTAAAAGCACTTTTGATGCGGAAGCCGAGAAAAATAAAAGTTGTAGTGTTTGGGAAAATAAGTGCTTTTTTAAAGCCAAAAGCTGAGAAGTGCTTTTTTAAAAGCAGTTGCAAACAGACCCTTAATCACTTCTCCCTATTTCATTAAAAAAATCACTTTTTTAAAAGCAGAAGCTGTTGCAAACAGACCCTAAGAGCAGCCATATAGCTCTAGTGCACGTTCAGACACATCTAATATAAGTGTCTGTGATTATGTTTCTGCTTTTTTTTAAAGAACAGAACCAGTTTTCTGAAGCTGGTCTCCCCCAACTTATAAAAAACCATTTCAATGAGTAAATTAGAGCACCGAAAATACTTCTGCATTTTCACTCAAACATTCCAACTTCTGCTTATGTTCCCAAAAGAGAAGAAGCATTTTTAATAACAAGATCCAAACACCACTAAGACGTTTTACGTATCATATACTATACATATCATATATTCCCTCCGTATCTTAAAGATCCTCCTATTTCAAAAGCAGGTAGATCAAGGATAGTGATTAGTGAAAGAGGATATAAATTATTGAGGGTATGATGAGAAGATAGTGGAATAATGTGATGGAATGTATGATAAATCCAAAAAAGTAGTTGTAATAGTGGGTATGATGAGAAGAATTAAAAATGGGAATATCTTTTTGTTACGGACGAAAAAGGAAAGTGAGAAGATCTTTAAGTTACGGAGGGAGTACGAAGTACTCCATATGATATACCCGAAATACTCATCAATATTTTCTTAGACCGTGTCTTAATTTATCTAAATTGTGACGCATGTCCACAATTCCACAAATACATATGTCTAGGACTCTGGGAGGCCGTTTGGTAACATTGTTTTTCGGCTTATCAGACTTATCAGTCAACTTTTTCACCAGACACGTAACTTTTGTTTTCGCGCGCTGAATTGTGTAATAACAAGAATAAGTAATATTTGAGTTACTTTTCTAATTGTATTGGCTGAAGCTACTGTAGATGACCATTTTAACTATTTTTACATATAATTTTTTCTTTATTTTATTAATTATTTTTAAAATTATTTTTTTCTTTAAATCAGCAGAATCAACCAATACAGCCACTTCAACCAAAACTTCATAAATTTCAGCAGAATCAATCGAATCAGTCGATTTTCGTGTTACCAAACAGGTTCTAGGTGTATAAAGTTTATTTTCCATCCATAAAAATTTTCATTTTCTATCAAGTAACACGTACTTTTCAATACAGTATATTTATTCAAAGGTAAAAATGTAGGGTACTGATTGAGATGATATTGATAAATTTTGACGTTTTTACCTGAAGAACTTTACGAAGATTTTTTTCCTAAGAATGTTTTACGATTTTAGTCATGTGATACTCAACATGCTCCAAAGCATTACGGAGTATAAAAAAGAGTTATACTACTACCTCAGTCCCTCTAAGTTTGAGACAAGAGAAGGTGACACGGTTATTAAGGGTTTATGTGATGTGATTGATATTGAATTGATAAAGTAAGAATAAAGTAGGAATGATTGAGAACCACACAAATTTTACCAAATAAGGTATGAAACAATCTTAGTGAGACGGACCGAAATGGTAAAATGGGACAATCATAACGGGACGGAGGGAGTACTTCGTATTACGTAGTATAATAAATTATTAAAAGAATTTTTTGCACTCAAATTGTAACAACGTCAAAATGTAAGCTCCACGGTAAATAAGTTTTGAGATGATTTTATGAGTGTAGAAACTAGAAAGAGTACATTCTAGGTATCATTTTCCCCAATAATCATATTGATTCAAATTTTATTGACGAAATTGGCAATAATAATATCGATTATAGAGTAATAATTCTTATTAAGAGTATCGATAAAAATAATCTTTACTAGCAATAATGTCCACAAGAAATCAAGAATAAATCGCAATGAATTCAATCTTATGCTAATTTAGTGCTCTGAACCTCTTCTTTCACTTTCTTTTTCACCACTCTTCGTCTCGAACTCTCTGTTAACACTTTTATGTTCCTATTTAGAAAAAAATCACATTTTCATGATGAAAATAGTGTTGAGATGAAGCCGATTTTAATTCGAGTTTGCCCCGAGAAGAAGAGTGAGGAAGAGAGTATTAAACGGACATTAATTTGAATTTGCACTAATCATTCTTATGAACATCATTGCTAGTTTGAATTATTTTTGTGAACACTTTGAGTAAGAATTATTATTGTAGAATATTTAAAAGTAGAGATTATTCTTATGATTTCACCAATTTTATTTTACCGGACACTTCCAACTATGAGTATTAGAGCCCGTTTGGTAACACTGAAATTTGCCGAATCGGCTGATTCTGCCGAAATTTATGAAGTTTTGAGTGAAGCGGTTGGATCCTGATTATAAAAAAATTATATTTAAAATACTTTTTATTAATAAAATAAAAGAAAAAATTATGTAAAAAATAGCATCTTCTACATTGACTTGAGTCAAAACCGTCCGAAAAATAACTCCATCAAATCCCATCAAACTGGGAGGATATTCTTGGCGAAAACAAGGCAAGTACACACCCAACGAAGCAAGTAACCATAAGAATGGCTGTATAACACTGTAGCATCATAGTAAGCATACAATGAAGCGCTCAATCAACAACAGCTATTCTGGTTCTACTCCATTGGATTCCAATTGCAAACGCATTATACTGGCATTGGTTTTCGCTTTTGCTGGAGTAAGTGGCACATCGTTACACATTGCAGCCGGCGGGGGAATTCCAGGAGCAGCTGAGAATCTCACAATTACCAGCACTGCATCTATTAGTAGCAAAAATTACAGCGTGACGTACGATAGGCGGTCTCTGATAATCAATGGCCAGCGGAAACTGCTCATCTCTGCTTCCATTCACTATCCCCGCAGCGTCCCTGCCGTAAGTTCAACCTCCTCCACCAGCTAAAATGGTTCATAATTTGTTATCAGTAGCTTCTGCTTTGAGTGCTTTCTCTATGTCACTGCTGTTACATTTTCTACTTTATTTCCGGTTGTTCTCTTGATTTAACTGTAGAATTTGTTGTATAATTTTGTTGTAACAATCGAAAAAGAGAGATAGAAGTAATACGTGCACTGTCATCCATGAAATATAATTTCTCTCATTGTCCTGAATTGCCCATCATCTTTGCTCCTAGTGAATTTCATTTTTTAAAGAATGTTCATTACTACTAAACTTGAAAGATTCATTTTTTAAGCTTGCTGATTGAATAGCTGATGAAACTGGGTATTCATTAGATGTGGCCAGGATTAGTTCAACTGGCAAAGGAAGGAGGAGCTGATGTTATTGAAACTTATGTCTTTTGGAATGGTCATGAACATTCTCCGGGCAATGTGAGGCTGCAACTTAACATACAACTCAAACTTTGCGTTTTCCTATTCTTAATTCTAATGCTTCCTGTTCAATTGCACTGTCAAACCATCTTTCAGTATTACTTTGGTGGAAGATATGACCTTGTGAAATTTTGCAAGATCGTTCAGCAAGCTAGTATGTATATGATTCTTCGAATTGGACCATTCATTGCCGCAGAGTGGAATTTTGGGTATACTTATACACCACTGCTATGAGATTTCCATTCTACCCTTCAACAGATTTACAAGATAGGTGATTATGTATTAGCAGTGAAAGTAAAATTGAATTATGACCTGTATGGATTGAGGTTTAAAATTTTGATCCCTGTATTTAAAGGTTTCTAGAGTTGTCAAAACTCTGCCAACTAGGTTTTGTAGATTGGAAATCACATCTAATTGAGAAAACCCTTACCGCTGTCTTAATAATGCAGTGGGATTCCTATATGGCTCCATTATGTGCCAGGGACCACTTTTCGGACGGACAATGAACCTTTTAAGGTTTGTACAGTATTGCAGCATAGATATTTGCTATTAATTCAAATTCCAGTAGATAATAGTGACATTTGTCGGAAGGATCACAAATTTATTCATAACCTGGAATCCAAATTCCAGTATCACATGCACAGCTTTATGACATTCATAGTAAATCTGATGAAGCAAGAGAGACTTTTTGCATCTCAGGGGGGCCCTATTATCTTGGCGCAGGTATGTGAAGCTCCTAACTTATTTGTCTTAAAAGTGTTGGTTGTTGTAGCTATGTATTGATTGTAGAGCATGAATCTCTTCATGTCTTGACTCTTGATGCCTACAAATATTGCTTGATTGTCCAGTATCTTATTTGCATTTTGCAATGAAATGTTAGGATGTTTTTACTTGGACTATAATTTGCTGGTCTGGTCTGAACTGGACTGGTCTGGTCTGGTTTCTTTGTATTTTTATAACTATCCAAGTCTGGTCTGGTCCGGTCTGGTTTGATATGGTCTGGTCTGATTTGGTCTGGTCTGGGACAAATTACAGTCCAAGTAAAAACATCCTTATAATTTGGAACATATTGCAAGACTATTAATTTTGTAAATCAAAGTCCTTGTTTTAAATGTCAAACTGATTTTGTCCTTACATGATGTGTATCTCAAATCTTTTTCTAACGAATGGGAGGATGGGCGCTATATGAACTCTACACCTGATGATCTGACTTAACAAGATTCCCAATCTTATGAAATTCAAGTTTTGGAAGGTAGATATTGTAAGAGAAAACCATCTTAGCTTCATAACGAAGCAGTGAATTACAAACATTTATTGGCTTAGTAGTTAGTACCATTCAGTTTTCATTATTACAAACACTCCCTCCGTCACAAAACAAGATTATTGTTTGGTCAATGAGTAGCTCTTTATTTATTGCAAGGACAACTTCAAAAAAGCAACAAAGTCCTTATTTTAAAAATAATGTTTTGATTTAACTAAATTTATCTTATTCATCTCGTTTGTAACCTCTTTTTCGGAAAGATACATGGAACATTTGTTCCTTTTTAAAAAAATTGACTCATTTTTTGAGACTAAAGAAACTCTAGTAATACGACCCTTGTTTTGGGCGCAGGGAGGATGAGGTAAAAGTCAGAAGACAAATTTTCCCATTGTTTAGGTTGCACTGTAATCACGTTTTTATTTTCTGTTTTCAGTTGTCGTTTTCTTTATTCCTTAAGAGACAAACAAGAAATCGTGTTTGATAGAGTAGTTCTTTTATTTTAATTTTTTGTATTCATAAATAGAAATTTGAAATATTCAAAACAAGAATGGTTGTTTTTAAATATGTTCACGAGTTTGACACAGTTTTTAAAACATTTAGAATTTTTATAAAACTAATTTATACGTAAGTAGGCATGATAGATAGAGTGATAGACTTACTGAACATGTTTTCCATTTTAGATATTTGAAATGAAAAACAAATTTTCTTAGAGATAAAACATTATCAAGCGAATCCTATTTTCTGAATTTTTTTCTTTGAATGGCCAACATTAGTGCAGATGGCCAGGTGCACCTTAACAGTCGGGATTTGAAAGTAGCGGCGTTGCATCATATTATGCATATACCCGTTAAAAGAGTCACATCTGATTTAATTTATCAATTTTCATTGTTTACACTTCAACGGAAACTTCCTTATTGCTCTAGTCTAAACGTGTCAATTCATATGGCTTTACTTGTGATGACAAATGGCTGGGAATTTTCTTTACTCTTTCTTTAAGATATTTTCTTGGATGCTTAAGTTATTACTTCAGGTCTATGAATGTCTTGAAACTTCTTTCATCTATGTATACAGGTAGAAAATGAATATGGTTTCTATGAAGCAGCTTATGGAGAAGGAGGTAAAAGGTATGCCTCATGGGCAGCAAAAATGGCTCTTTCTCAGAAAACAGGTGTCCCTTGGATTATGTGTGAGCAGTTTGATGCTCCCGTTGAGGTGGTAAGTACTTGTTGCTTCAGTTTGACACTCTGGCTAACATATATGTTTTAATGTGTACTCCTAGACTCCTAGTACACAATGTTGTTGTTCCCGTCAGTGCATATGCATACAAATGTACTCAATCCACCTCTCAAGTATGGTTACACACTTAATCCTGTATACATAAAACAGTGCCTGTAACAGTATAACTCTCTCTTTATGACTATTTTTAATAAGAGCAGAGGTATGATTTATTATACTATAGGCCCCAACTCTACTTTGATTATGTGTTACATTGTGAGGTTGCTTTTCCTGGCAATTTCATGTGTTGCTCTAGTATTACACAACATCCATTTCATGAATTAGCGCATGTGTGTGTTGTTTCTTCCTTCTTTCTACTTTTCAGCAAATGAATTGTTTTTCAGGAGCTTGATAATGCCAAAAACGCAATATCTAAACTGACCAAGCTCTTCATGTAGGAGAAACAACTGGTTCAGGGTCTTCAAAGAAATTATGTCTGTAAAGTTGTTCTGTTGTAAAAAAATGAATAGAACACATTTTGTTCCTGAAGAGTTTCATGATCACATTAGAGCTGCTACTTTCCAGATATATAGGTGTATAGACATTCACAAATGAATAAAGATGTAGTTGCCGCAGGGTATTCCTTGGCTGTGCAGTGTTTGTTTATTTTCATAATAGCGCCATGCCGCCATATTTCCAGCCTTAAATATTTATAAAGTATTACTTTGTGAGTTTGTGGATTGAAGCAACAGTTACAGACCATTGATCCATTCTTGCTTGAGTGAAATTGTAGATGGCCTGTTTGAAAAGCACAGGTGGTTTTTATTGATAGTAAATATCCTAAGCCCTCCCTGAATCTCTCTCTATCACCCTTGGGCTTGCATTCTTTTTTATGACTCATTAAAATGTTATATTAATGTGGGATCAATCATTTCAGCTCAAATTGCTTATATGTATATATTTCGTTACAGATTGACACTTGCAATTTGTTTTACTGTGATCAATTCACACCACTCTCTCCAACCAAACCCAAGATGTGGACAGAAAATTGGCCTGGATGGTAAGTCATACCTATTCGTTATAAATTTCTATCCGTGTTTCTGTTTAGAATATAAAAACCAAAATTTGCATTGTTACATGGTCTATATGTTTCATTTTCATATGGCATCCTCCAGTCCTTTCAATTACTCGATTTCAACAGCCCTACCTCCTCCAAGTGACAACCTTCACCACTTAACAGTTAACACTAAGTTAGAATGTTTCCCGTCCTCTAATGATGGAATATTTGATGCTGTTAACTTATTGTTTATAATGCAACATACTTGTAATTTTGAACCCCTGAAGGTGGAGAACAAATGTGAAACAATAAGACTGCCAGTATGCATTTGATAATTAGTCAATGATAAACCCTAAGGCCTAAGCCCAATCTAGCTTTCTGGGTTATCTTTGACCTGCTCAATTAGACGAGTCTTAAATTCTTTACAATCATGTCCATTTCTGGTTCGAAATTACTTTTGCAAAAGGTCCTGGACTGAAAGTAGACAGAGAACGTTTCTTTGTAGTGCTAGTCACCAGTTGATATACTCAATTGTATAATTAAATATAGCATTATAAAATTTCAGGTTTAAAACGTTTGGGGCCAGTGATCCTCACAGGCCTCCAGAAGACATTGCTTTTTCCGTTGCTCATTTTTTCCAAAAAGGTGGAAGTTTGCAAAACTATTACATGGTAAATCCCAGCTATATCGTTTTGATTATCCATAATGGGTAACACTAAATCGGTCCTTTGCTACCCGTCTATAAATCCATTTCGTCCAAATGAACTTCTTTGAATGGTTTTTGTTTTTAGATTATTTCATTTTATGGCGCCTTAAGTGACTGATGTGGAAGTTTTGTTCTTTTTTGTACTTTTTTCATATGCATAAAGTAGTATCATGGTGGGACAAACTTTGGTCGCACATCAGGTGGTCCCTTTATTACCACAAGCTATGATTATGAAGCTCCAATTGATGAATATGGTAAACTCATATAGTCATATATTAATTGATAAATTACTTGCTTTAGAACATCAATTGATATTTTTGGTGGGTATGAGTGCTGATGTTTAATTGTAAGGCTGAACTTTGATATTATCTGATGTAACTTTCAGGTCTAGCAAGACTCCCCAAGTGGGGTCATCTTAAAGAACTTCACAAAGCTATAAAGTTATGTGAGCCTGTGTTGCTGAACAATGACCCCATTTTGCTCTCACTAGGTCCTTTACAAGAGGTGACCTCTAGTAACTTTTTGCCTTTGGTTCGAATATATGTGATATAATCTCTCTCTCTCTCTCTCTCTCTCTCTCTCACGCACTTTCAAAACCACTTTTAAAACTTAACATTTTTAAGGAAATGTACTTCTGCTTTTCTTTTATAGTAATCTGTTCTGGTAGTTCTTTCATTTATTATTATTATTATTGTTATTATTGTTTTTGCTATTATTATTATTGTTATTATTATTATTTTATTAGTACTATTATTATTGTCATTATTATTATTAGCCTTTAGTTTTTATTTTGAACTGAGTGCGGAATTATGATCTACTTGTATCTTAGTGCAAACTCATTGAAAGACCACTATTTTGTAGGCAGATGTCTATGAAAATGCATCAGAAGGAGCTTGTGCAGCATTCCTCGCTAATGCAGATGATAAAAATGATAAGGTGGTAATATTCCGGAATAGGCAATACAATCTGCCAGCATGGTCTGTCAGCATTTTACCCGACTGCAGGAATGTGGTGTTCAATACAGCGCAGGTACCCCCAAATGTTCAAAAGAAAAAACAATTTTAGATCAGGTTGCCCAGTTTTAAAACCCTGAGAATTCCATTCATTAACTTATTTCTTAAGTTTTAACCAAAGTGAAGTGTCTTACAATATGCACAAGTTGCCATCTAGTTAATCATTTTTTAACAGGTCAGGTCTCAAGCTTCTATAATTGAGATGATACCATCAGATTTCCAGTTGTCATCAGCATCATCTGTTAGTGGCCTGAAAGGTCTTCAGTGGGAAGTGTTTGTGGAAACAGCTGGAATTTGGGGAGATGCTGATTTCACAAAGAAAGAACTTGTAGACCACATCAACACTACTAAAGATACTACTGACTACCTCTGGTACACAACAAGGTTGGTATAGTTTTGAAGTTAATTAAACATGGAAGCTACAAACATATGCATAACTAGTGGGCCATAGATTGAGGAGGACATATAATACAAAGAAACATGAAACTCAAATTCCTGACTTGGTCTGCCTCTTTTAACAGTCTGCTACGAGCTGTTTCTAATCCTATGTACAACAGAGGTTCCTAGGTGGGCCTTTTCAATCGTCGTTAAGTTTACATGAAGCTACGATCCACATATATTCACAATATCCAGACTTTCTTAGTCCAAATTGATATAGCCTCCCCTTGAGTTATTAGAACAACACACACCCAAACAGATTATCTGTTCTCAAATGTGGTCAAGTTTCTTGTGGTTATAAGAAGAGCAAGGGAGTTCGAAAGAAAGGAGGATATATGGGCTCTAGAATGAGGTTAAGTTTTCTCAGCATGGAAATGGTGGGCAGGCAATGTCAGCATCACATATGTTGACTTTTACATTACAACTTGATTTTTCTGAAGACTAATACACTACTTATTATATCAGGAAATGTGGCCTAAGTGTAATGGGCCAGACCCTAGGGTTTCTAAATCATGGGATCTCGTTTACCCCACTTTAACCTAATATATATACTTCAACACTTCCCCTCAAACTGGAACATCATATGCTCCACGCTTGTTACAAAACATTAAACTAAACTTAAAGCTTGATAATGAAAATTGAAAATTTGGATTCAACTTCAAATTAGACCCGGAGCAGAATTACTGAACTTTGAAACTTCAAATTCTCTTCAACATAACTTTAGAAACATGAAATTGAGACTTGAACACTTAAACAGTTGAACTTGATTGGTGCCCCACTCAAACTTCTGGGCAAGAACTTTACTCCACTTTAATTCGCAAAACTTCTGGTGAATGCTCCCGAGGATTTATAATTCAACTGTCTTTTTTCAAATTGCTTTTTTGCACCTTTCCCTGTTTCCGTTTTCTTTTTTAATTAATATATGCTACCTCAATGTCTAGATTTTTGATCCGCCATTCTGACTTCAAGGAAGTAGCTTATGAATTAAACTTGTGGAAAATCATTTCCACTCATTCAGTCAATTGAGCATATGCCCTTATATATTTCTCACTTTTCATTAGTTTCTTTTCTATACTTTCTGTTACCGGCAGTTTATATGTGGATGAGGGTGAGCAGTTGCTCATAAATGGAACCAATGCAATGCTTCAAGTTGAATCAAAGGGCCATGTTCTGCATGTCTTCATCAATAAAATGTTACAAGGTTCAGAATTCAGATTTCATCATAGTTTCTGATGCTAGACTAGAAAATGATTTTTATGTTAAACCATGTTTCTTACTCTATGCACTTCAAATTATTCCAATGTAGTATTTTACATACTGCTCATGCTCATTAAATCCGGGGAAGCCATCCTATTCTCTGGATGTGCTACATACACTGAAGTAATTTACTAGTTCTGCTGGCTCTCTTCAGCTACTGCATATGGAAATGGTACAGTGCCACCTTTCACGCTGCGAAGTCCTATTTCTCTCAAGGCAGGGAAGAATGAAATTTCATTACTAAGCATGACCATGGGCTTACAAGTAAGGTGTTGAGTTTTTCTTTTTATCCTCTAGTTCTTCAATTTATACTCCGTAATGATGATGATGGTGATGATGAATGTGTTTGTATACTTTGATATACGCCACTGCGTATATGACAATTAAGCTAATGAGTGAATCGGGGGAGGAGGGGTGGTCAGTTTTTTTTCTGTATGCAATAGAAAATATCTCATTGTAGGACTAGTAAAGCATGCGGTTACATGAAATGAGGACACCTAGAAATAACAGCGTATATTGTTTGTTAGCAACTGCCTGATCATCAGGCCCTGATGCCTTCGGGGCAAGTCAAAGACATGATATGTTGCCATAATGTCTAGTCATCCAATCAGCACAGTGTTCTCTTTCCATATATTATACACATGAAACATAGAACATCTCTGATTACAAATCAAGAGCTCTTTTATTGCCTCAATAAGATTAAAGTGCAGATCATTTGTATCCCCGAAGGCCCGAACACTTGATCTTAAAAATGGCATCTTCAGAATCACTTTCTAACTCCACTCTTCCAAATTCAGTCGACCAATATAATAGCAGGCTTCCCGGCTCTGATAATGTGATGTATCGTGTAAAGCACTGTTGTAATATTGGTGGTGATACCCATTCTTTTGACTAAAAAGTATATCCACTTCCCAAGCACATCATACCCACCCCACCCCCATAGCTTCGCCCACTTGTCCCTTAGCACTACTATCTACATTACCCTTCATTATGGCTGGTCAGGATGGACATTGGACACTGTTATGGTTCCAGAACTGAACCGGCTGGGTAAAAGAATGAACACACTACTATCTACATTACCCTTCATTATGGCACCCACCCACCCTCATAGCTTTGCCTGCTTGTCCCTTAGCACTACTATCTACATTAGCCTTCATTTTGGCTGGTAAAAGAATGAAAGCAGCCCCCCGGTCCGGACCAGAACCGTTCGAACTGGTTCCGGTTCCTCCATAAAGGACCAAAATAAACGGGTTCCGTTTTTATTTTATTTTTGATTTATATGCTAAAAGATATAGAAATCAATCAATAAATCAGATCAGTTATTGTAATTAAGACATAGTATTATTGCAATTTCCCTTCTAGTTTCTCTGGGACTTTGCATGACTAGACCATCTGGAGTCAAAGGGTTGTTGACCAAGGCAGGACCTCCGATAAGGATGGGTTGTTGACAAGTCAAGAGCTGTTTGGATGGCAGGTGGGTTTTCGATAAGGATGGCAATGGGGGCGGGGGCCCGTGGGGAACCGCCCCGTGAGGGGGAGTTGGGGCGGGTGGACGGGTGGTGGGGTGGGGGAGATATTTTCTCCCCGCATAAATATGGGGCGGGTGATGGGTTATGCACCCCCCGCACCGTCCCCGCACCGTCCCCCGTAATAATTAATAATAATAATCTCAATAATAATACTAATAATAATAGTAATACTAATACGAAGTAATTAAAATAGCATGGTGGCCCGGTGAGTTTAGTGGTTTCCTATCTAATGGATTGTGCGTAATGGATCTATCTAATTCTTGTTTAATAACTAAGCTATCTTGTAAAATTGCTTATCAAAATCATAAAGTAAAATGATTTTTTTAGAGATAAAATAAAATGAATTTGGGAAAGTTATAAAGTGATATTAGCTTAAACGCCTCAGGCACGGTGTGAAAGTTTTTTTCCTTTACTATTATAATGCATTAATTCTTTTCTTTTGAATGTCATCTTTATGATTGTAGTTAGGGCTCTTAAAATTTGGTGATCATATGTCGTCCTAGATGCCGTCAAATGACCATGATTGATTGAATGCAGGGTTTAAGAAAATATTATAGAGCTAATCAATGCTAATTTAGAGTTTGATAAAAATTACTAATTTAGAACGCGTATAATGTGTTCTAGATTTGAAATGGGATGTAAGATTACATTGACACTTAAAAAGTAAAAAAAAAAATTGGCTACTAGAAGTGTTGTTAAATTTTTGAAAAATTGTCAGAGTCTAAAATGATGTTAATTTTTGACGAGTACTTCCCCGTTGGGTACCCGTGGGTCTAGCGGGTCGGGGCGGGTCGAATAGTAGTGGGGGATGGGGCGGGGGGTGGGGGCGATTTTTTAGACACGGGGCGGGGGATGGGGGAGTGAACCCCCGCCCCAACCCCGCCCCATTGCCATCCCTAGTTTTCGAGATCCCCTTGCTGTTGGGGATCCTCTGAACGGACATTTTCAGAATTGCCGATAGCCATGGCACTAATGGCAGAAAGAGGCTGGTTAGAGATCTATGGCTCTGATTCAAAAGCCTTCTCTTCTCTTGTTCATTAAAAGACTGGTGAAGGTTCTGGTTTCCCCTAACCCGGACCCGGCCTGAGAGCAGCCCTTCCCTTGATACATGGTTGCAACTGTTTTTTCAACGAGAGCAACTTTTCATGTTTCAGCTTGAATTTGTCTAGAAAAGTGGAATAGTATTTTTTCGTCCTTCCTATCAATGTTGAAGTATCCTTTGAGCATGCTTATCTCATTGATGGAACATTTTGGTTGAGATGCGTTGATCATTTGCTGTATGTGTATGTCCAACTTGTAGTCTGATCATGGCAACATATAGAAAAAAGTATATAAAATAGTAATAAGCTGGTTCATGCAGTGCTTATAGATATGAAAACTGTGCACTGGACCTAACAAATTGCAGCATGGTCTATGGAGAATCTATTGAAGATGATTATCAGGTCATACCATTATGATAGGTGTGCGCATGTTCAATCTCTTCTGAGTCTTCTCCAAGGTCTTATCATATACGTCAGAAGAGAGAAACAAGAAGAAGATAACAGAGCCATGTCGGTTTCCGATGCTCGCTCTTGGCAGGAACATTGGTTGCACGACTTAGCTTCGGCTGCTTTGCCAAAGTCGGAGACATTTAGTCAAGGAATTTCGTTTTTTATTCTTAAAATGAACCCCTGATTAAGTATTTATAATAGCCTCAAGAGGCTAGATGAGCAAGTAAATAGGGCCCCAACCTAATAAAACAATGTTAATACTTACTAAATCAAAACACTTATTCTAATGAGCTTACTTGACACACCATATGTGAATAAGGTAAATTATAAATGGATTGAAAAACTATAAGTTATACCCCCTTCGTTCTTTAATAGTTGCAACATTAAGACTTTTGCACTATTCACACACCTTACTTTGACCACAATTTTCTACTAATATATACTATCCTTCTTTTTTTTAATCGCAACATGTTGAATTTTACACTATTCACATGTTCTACTTTGACTACATTTTACACTATTATTTTATGAGAATTATTTTTTTTAAAAAAATATTGTTCAGTTCATCTCATTACAAATTTTCAAAATCTGATTTAATTTTTTTTACTAATAGAGATTAAGATATAATTACGGTCAAAGATGTGCGTTGGCAAGTGTGAAATGTTGCCCGTTGCAACTAAAAAAGAACGGAGGAAGTTTAATCAAATTATTATGTATAAAATGTTATTAAATTTCTAATAATGTGAATTTCCAAAATATTAACTTTTTACAATGTTCACTACTCCCTCTGTCCCCTTTATATTGTCCCGTTTTACCTTTTCGGGAAATCCCACTAAAATTGTCTCATACCATATTTGGTAAAGTTTGTGTGGCTCTAAATCATTCTTATTTTATTCTTACTTTATCAATTAATATCAACCACACAAACCCACTTTTCTTAATAATCGTGTCACCCTCTTCCGTCCCCATATAAAAGGGACGGAGGTAGTAATACATAATTAAATATAATTACAGTCAAAGTTGTGCGTTGGCAAATGTGAAAGTCAAACTATTGCAAGTTGCAACTATTCAAGAACATAAGATAGTATTTAAGTTTCTGATTTTGGAAATCAAGTAAAAAATTGTAATTGATTTACTCATCACCTCCCTCTATTTTGCTGCATTTCATTGATTTACTCAATTTGTCCACAATGATGGGAGAACTCAAAGCTGTCTTTTAAATAAAAGGAGATAAGGGTTAATCGGTCCTTTAATGCCATTGTCACAATATTTTGGCTTTTTTCCTGGACAGGCACGGCGTATGCAATAAATGAATCGTGTCTTTCAAATGGTAAAGTTTGGCACTAGTGTCATGAGATTAGTAGTTTTTTTCATGAAATCAATTGGAATAATTCAAGCCTTGCAATTGCTTAGTTGGTCTTGGTGAATGTTATCTAGTTTCTTTATATTAACCTTTCAACTATTTCTTTTTCTGTAGAATGCTGGTGCATTTTATGAATGGGTTGGCGCAGGTCTAACAAGTGTAAAAGTTGAAGGGTTCAAGAATGGGACTCTTGACTTGTCTTCAAATATTTGGACCTACAAGGTAATCCGTTTGGCTTTGCAATGATGTTGTCTTTTAGCTTTGACTAACTTTCAACATTTACATTCAAAATTAGATGGTTGTGAGCAGTTTTCCTTGATCATTTGCTCTCTTTTTCATGGCAATTTTGTTACACGGAAACTGTTCATTGGCAGTGGTGATTTGTTGATGGAAAAACAACTGTTTTTTTGTGTGTTTTTGTTTTATCCTAAGGATTAATGTATGTCTTCATGCAGCTTATTAGGAATTGATAAATGATTACTACAGACCTATATATAAATCAAGTTGTTCTGGAAAAGATAAAGCACTAAATGTCTGCTGCAAAATGTTCTAAAGTTGAGTTCCTTCATGTGTATTTAATTCTCAGATTGGATTGGAAGGAGAGAGTCTGAGAATATATCAGGGAGACGGTTTGAACAGTGAGACGTGGGTGCCAGTTTCGGCTCCACCTAAAGGACAGTCTCTTACATGGTATAAGGTAAGAAGTACGACTAAGCCTACATCTCTGAAGTGAGTTTGAACTTTAAATATCAATTGTGATATTGCAGGTTGTCGTTAATGCTCCCCCTGGAGACGAACCTGTTGGACTTGACATGATCCATATGGGGAAAGGCATGGCTTGGTTGAATGGAGAAGAAATTGGAAGATATTGGCTCAGGAAAAGCTCTGAAAATGATAATTGTGTTCTTCGATGTGACTACAGAGGCAATTTTAACCCTCACAAGTGTAACACAGGTTGTGGAGAACCCACACAGAGATGGTAAGATGCCTGAAGAACATGAAATATGGGGTTGTTACAATGCTATGTTATCATACATCAAGCATGACACTTACATTTTATGCATGATCGGAATTTGGGAGCAATTAGGTACCATGTGCCGCGCTCATGGTTCAAGCCATCTGGAAACATATTGGTGTTCTTTGAAGAGATAGGTGGAGACCCTTCACAAATTACATTCTCTCTTCGGAAAGTCTCAAGCATCTGTGCTCAAGTCTCAGAAGATCATCCTTGGGTTGATCTTGAGCATCTGCAAGATGGTGAATTTGGGAACATAGGGAAACCAACTCTTAAATTGAAGTGCCCAATGAATACTCGGATTACTGTGGTTAGATTTGCCAGCTATGGAACTCCTTCTGGTACTTGTGGCTCCTATGCTGAAGGAAAATGCCACGACTCGAACTCTGTCTCGTTGGTCAACAAGGTATGATCACTGCTCTAAAAATCCCCCCATAGAGCTTGACCATGTCTGGTTTTTCTTTCTCTGCCCTCACCCAACTGCCTAGTTACTGCTAGGCTCCTAGTCTACTGACTTGATGCCACATAGCACTTTCTAGAACAGTATGTATGAGACTGCATATCTGGAACTTCTCTTATAAAAATTATCACATCAACTTGGCAGAAGGGTCTGATGCGGCAAAAAAAATCAGGCACATTACGTTTATACTACTACCTCTGTCCCAAAACTGTCATTTTCAAAACTTTGACCAACTGTATCTTTTTATTGGAAATGATTTATAATATAAAAAATATATGAAAATGTTCTTTGATAAGAGTACTTTCATAAAAGTATAAATTTATAACTTCCAGTGAGCAAGTGTGTTGTGACGGAGGTAGTATGTAATAAAAAAGAAGAAAATCATGGAATAATAATAGGGAGTGAGTTGTGAATCCAAGACACTCTGTTACTATAGATCCAGTGAGCAAGTGTGCAACCAGCTATGATACCGTTCAACCACTACAAATATATCAACTTATTTGTGTGTATATATATATATATATATATATTTTGCGGTATTATATATTTTTAAAAACAAATGAGGGCCTTCTATCAGGAAGGCGTGCCCTGTTCGGTGGCACCACTTTATCCTTCCGATGGCCACTTCTGAACAATTATGATATGGTCCCAAGGTTGATTATACAGCTTCAAGTTTTGTTGAAAGTATAGGCTATCAATAGGATAATATGCACATGAGATTGCAAATTAATTGGTTAGAACACATGTGTGCTCTATAGGTAATCCAAGTGATGCTTAACGAGCAATGAATGTTATTACTTTTATTTTTTGATAGTAACATCTTAGTGCTGTCACCATTGTTTTGCAGGCTTGCTTGAACAAGAGTGAGTGTGGTGTAGAACTATCTAACAGAAATTTTAATGTGGGAATCTGCCCTAATGTGACCAAGGAACTCGCAGTTGAAATTCAATGTATCTGACGATGCAATTCCATACCCTACACTCATTCAGCACAGCATGGTGGCATTATATTGCCCATTTTAGTTGTATATTAAAATATTTTTCTTAATAAACTAGTTGAACAATATATCAGCATTTGTCCCCTTTAACAGGACAAATAATTATGAATAAGTAAGGGTATAAATAAATCTATGGTGGATAGATGTGTTAATGCGTCTTGGTCGGTGGAATGGTATCTTGTTTACATAACAGTGAAGTAAACGGAAAATGATGGACGGCATATTATGTTTATAGAAACAGAATAACTTTTAGGGAAATTTCCCGGGATATGACTAAAACTCATTGAGTTTTCCAATCTATGACTAACTTAATTTTTTGACATTTGTATGACCGAAAATAATAATAATAAAAAATATTTCATTTATATTTAATTGTTGAATGACGAAAATACCCTTATTTAAAGTATGTGCATTTTGCACTGATTTTGTCTATTAAAATTATTGCACTTTATATTTTCCTTAATGCACGACATTACTGCACTATATTACTGTACATCCGGTAATAATCACTGCACTTCTGTCAAAATTAATTCTGTTCTCATTCATTTTACGAAATTATTTATAGCTTTTGTTTTTATTTTTTTAGATTTAATAATTTTATTATTTTACGATATTACAACAAACTTACTTAATGCATTCATTCACTGCCATGTACAACATATATATTGTTGTATTCACTGCTATATTCAATAATATCTATGATGATATTCATAGATCATATTCAATGCCGATATTTAATGCCAACAAACCCTAATTTTAGAAATTCCAAAATTCAAAATTAAAAAAGAGAATTGAGGATCCATAGCACACCCATCACCCCGTTAAGTAACACCAGCGCCGCACTCATCCTAAGCATGTGGTAATAAATCAGCAGCCCACCAAACCGTAAAAAGGAATACAGAGGCCCCGTTCTGCGCCTCTATAAACGGCCGTTTGTTGAGATTGAGAACCGCCCCTTACGCTGGATTTTTTGGTGATGTCAAAGCAACGACCGCTAATTTCAAGACCATATTGGAGATCGGTTTCGCAGGTCTACAAGTCGGCGGCGTTATTCGCAATAGATCGGAGGTCGGATAGGAATCCCGTGGGTCAGACTGTTTACCTCCGCAGGTTGGTCGCGACGCCTAGGTCGGGCGATTGTGCACCCAGGCCAGCGATACATCTTCGGAAGGCGGCAACTGTGCTCCCAGGCCAGAGATATGTGGTGGCGGCGGCGCTAGACGGTGGCCGGCGGCTAGATGGTGGGTGGAGAATCGTCATGCGCGGCTGCGTGGGTTGGCGGCAGAGGTTATACACGAGCGGCTATAGCTAGGGGTTGGAGAATATGGGTGGAAGATTAGGGTTTTAAAGGTATAAACTAGAGGGTATATTTGTCCACAAAAAAATATTTATTATTTTATTATTTCGAATTTAATTAATTATTTCGTTTTTTAATATTATTTTAAGAAAAAAACTAGTTAGGTCATAGATTGGAAAACTCATTGAGTTTTAGTCATACCTAGGATAATTATCTCTAACTTTTACTATAAACCCTGGTATAATAGTATTAAATGTATGCGCAACATAACATGAAATAATCACTTCTATATGACTAAAATAGAGATGATAGATAAAAATGTGACTTTTTCTACGCGGTGACTATATTAATAACTTTGGTGATTAATTATGATCAATTTTACATTGCAAGAATCATGACATTGTACTCATAGTAACTTTAGTCACCTTTTTGTCCATAGTTTATATTCTAGTGTGATTTAGGAAAAAAAACTTTTTCTTTGAAGTAGTTCAACAAACTTAAAGAATTTAAGAACTTAACATGCTTTGGAACTCTAAAATGAACTTCTTTTGAGTGTTAATATGTTTGCTATAGAGGAAAGTGTTGAATAAATATAGTATATTGTGATTTTCAAATGAGATGGAAGAGTGGAATTGGAATAGAGTTATGGTCATGGGAAAAAATTGCTTTAAAGAATTGTGAGCTATGACCATTGGATGCACACATCCTTTATGAGAAAAAAGAAATCATGTGTGTTCGAGTGGATTAAACTACACTTATGTTGGAATTGTTATATACTTTCATACAGACTTTAGAGTGGAAGGAGATGATTCTATATGAGTTATAGCACAAATAAATTTTGACTATAGGCCCGTTTTGAAATTGCCTAGTAGTCTAGTACACAAGTCTAAGTCGAGGATTAGGACTTACTTATTGCATGCATTTATATATTTCTAATTTGCTGTTCATACACATTCACATCGCACAAAACTTGGAAGCCCTAGCGTTTTGGACACATTTTCATCCTTAACTCTCACATTCACTACTTCAGGTAGTTATATCTCCAATGTGGGACGAGCATCAACATACCCTGCAACACACCTTTCCTTAATATATTTAGTTTTATTAACGTAAAGCTTAATATCCCATTTAGTCAGAACTGGTTCTAAGAACTTTAAATGCTACATGAGTACGTGTTTATCGACACTGAATGTTGTTTCCAAATATATACTTTATACTTTATTTGTCACATTTACGAATCAAACTACTTAAATATATCACCAGACTTAATGTAAATCCTAATTTTAACCATTCCTGACATGAATGAGATGGCCCTAAATTTGATTGCACATTTTAACACAAATAGAGTTCCGACGAACATGCAGGGCAACATGAGAGATAGCGTCTAACTTTGATTTCATAACTTTGATTTCAAAAGTATTTCATTGGTGTGCTCATTTTGGCTATGACCATCTTCTTTGATTTCAAAAGTATATCATTTAAAGCGGCACATATTCACCACTTATGATTGCATAGGATATATAGATCAAGGTTGTTAAAATCGCGATTTGAATCGTAAATTCGTACGATTTTACGATTCAAAATCACTAAAATGATTCAAATCGGTTACAAAATCGGAATTAATAAAAATCGTAAAAAAATCGTTAGGAAATCACAAATATCGTTTGAAATCGCGAGTATATACGATTTCTCGATTTTGAAAATTTGACTAAAGCACACTCGAAAACCGGCCGAACTACTCAGGCCAGTTGGCAAGTAGATGTACTAGCTGCCTGCTTTGACTGTTACCGACTCGACAATTATATAGGCAAGGGAGGAGGCAAATTCCTAATCTATTCCGGTGTGGGATCATTGAAAGAACAAACAATTTTTTTAAAACTAAAAACCAACGATGCCGGGTTTCGTACTTCATTCAAAACTATTATTTCACCAACTCACCATTTCACCAATAACAATTTTGTTATTTTATCTGACTATTATTAGTGTTTTACTTAATCAATATTCCACAAAACAAATATACTTATACTTTTCTTGTCTTGTTATTGCTATTCATATACGGAGCACTCATTGTGAAAATAAATTCAAACATCATTTTTATTTTTGTGTGACTTTTATTCTTAGAGCACATAATATTATTTTGTTATTAATTATTTTTGTAAACTTAAGTTAACACTACGTACATCATTGTGAGACTTAAACTCATAATAATTTGACATAATCATATTAAATTATGATTTTTCTTTTGACTAATATTTTTAATAATTTTTATTTAATTATTTTGTAAAATCTTACGATTTACGATTCGATTCTACGATTCGATTTTTAAACCTTTGTACCGATTCGATCAAAAAATACGATTTTAACAACCTTGATATAGATAATAACTTATGAAGAACACAATACCATTTATGTTCCATCTATATGGGTGTAGGAATCATTAAAAAATTATTTTATATCCTCATCATATTTGGTGGGCAATAATCTTAAAAAAAAAATCAAAGTTAAGTGTATAGAACAACCACATGTTCCATGTAGTATACACGAGCACTATTTTCAAGATATGATGAGGATAGACTATACATGGTCAAGCTCTATGAGAGTATGAGACTGCCAAAAAAAATAGTGTTCGTGTAATAGTATGCAACAACCACATGTTCCATGTAGCTTTATCATCATTTGCCATACTATACATTTCCCCCCTCTTTTTTGCCCAAGTTCACCTAATACTTAATTAATAGGTTTATTAAACATGACCTTCCCGTCTTCCTATTACTGGGCAACAATTTTCCAAAAAGGTGTTTTTTTTTGTTATTAATCCTTTTGCTAATTGGAATTCACGTTTCTTCATTTTGTTCTTTTTATATTTCTATTCATTATTTATTACAAAAAAGTATTTTCTTGAAGAGAAGTATAGAAAAAAAGATAAATATTCATTTAGATGGACGTTAGTAGTAATTTTTTCAGTTGTGAAGGCTAATATGGGGTTTAACACAAAACAAGCTTTATATTCATCCCAGCCCCTACGACACTTGTATAATTCATTCCAACAAAAGAATTTAATGTTACTGTGTAGTCGAGAACTTTTTACCATTTGATAAGTGTGGTTTTAGTATTCATTAAAATTAACTTAGGAAAACTAAAAGTGATATTTTTAGTCAAGATTCTATTTTAAGTTTTCTTGAAAATCATATCGTATTCAGATTTTTTTATTTATGAATATACTATTGTAAGAAGATCATCATTTTTATTGTTCATTCATTGCAATGTTTTTAATTTAATACATGTTATAAGAATCAGTTGGGTCAAGACTCGAGGTAAGTATTAGAATTTTCATGAAATTTGAATTAAGATTCGATTAGTAGATAAACATTTCTAATTGGGTTTTAGTTTTCAATTTATAATACATCTCTCTGCTAGACCACTTGCTCGAAGAACAAGAATTGGCCTCTATGATAGTATGTTTTTGCATTATTAGTAACGAAACATGGAGACTTAAGCTTGGTTAGTTTTTTATTGAATAGTGTTTGATACTTTAAATATTGAGTATGAGTTAGTCTTTTGAAGGATAAAAACGGTTTGTTTTTTAAATATGTTTGAATTTGAAAACATGTCATTCGAAGGCACATGAACAATTTATGAGGGGTCACAACATTTTTCCCTCAAGGTTCTTCCACAACCAAGTGCTACGTATGAATTTGAACACCTTTTTCTCTCTCTCCTTCAATGCATATCTCTTCTCAACTCAACTACATCAACAAGGCCTTGTTGGTAATATGGATGCTTATAAATCTTTTGCTCCTTGCTAATGGATATCCCCAATTAAGAGTTCAACACTATTTATGCCGCAAATTATATCATGGGATCGGCTCACCATGCACATGGTGTGCCGATCCCAAAACGACATAGTTTTTATTAATTAAAAAAGAAAGCGGCCTTCTTCCGTACAATTCACCCGGCGCCACCAACCTTTTTATTACGTACAAGGTAATACTGCGCGCCTTTAGCATCCAGAAGAAGGCGTGAAACTCCATTAATCT